AGAACTATTACAATAGTTTCCTGATTGGTCTTCCTCCTTCCCTCTTGCCACCTTACAATCAAGTCTCCATGTTTATCTACATTAATCATATCCCATGACTCCCTGCTATAAATTTCTTTTATGCAGGGTTTTTCAATAACAGTGGAAGTCATTATTTCAAACCTCAGGTCTGTCCCAATTATATCCACAGAGGTTCTGGTTCATCCAGCCATTTTCAGACTCAAATGAGATGCTACATCACAGGACATGGGCTCTGGCTTCCCTAGCAGCTGCGCAAGGGTTGTGCCAACACCAGCCCAAGTTGTGGTAATGCCCCAAGAGATGAACTTTGACCAGTAAGAGACAAACATATTGGACTGTTCCAAAAGGCTGTAGTTTCACACGGTCTGGATAGAAGATGTACCATGTACAAGACAACCAGCTCAGATTTTCTGCAAGATTAAGGTAACCTTGGTAATACTGTTCATCCTTCCTTGCCTTACTTCCCTTTCTCCTTCATTCCTGCTGGTCTTGGTTAGTACCATTCAATAAAATGTTAGGACCCAGGCTTTACTTCCAGCTCTGTTTCCTAAGAAAACAGGGCCAAAACCCTAGAAGGTAGGTAAAATATACTTTCTTTGTATTCCTAAAACACTCAAACCTCTCCTCTACAATAGCACAGATTGTGGAGTCAGACAGATACTAGTTCTGTGTCCTTAGGCAAAGTTATTTCATCTCTCTGAGCCTTGTTTTCTTCATCTGTAAAATGAGGATTATATCAGAACCTACCAAGTTAATAGAACCTACTAAGACAATCAATCAATAAAGTATGCCAGGTACATGAGAAATACTCAATAAGACAGACATTATTATGATTATGTGTTATCTATCCTTATATTTCTAGTGCTTAATATAACAACTACAATATAGTAAGTAGGTATATCTAATGCCTAAAATATTTACATATTTTCTCTGTATTTTAAAAATGTTTACTAGGTAGAAAAGTTTGAGAGAGCTGCGTGGTTTCAATACAAAAGACTAAGGAACCTGTAAAAACGAAATAAATATACACATGAATGCTTTCTGAAGCATGTTTCTTTACCACAAATTAAAATTAAGTTCATTTTACATGTATGTTTTTCCTAATTATCAGGAAAAACAAGTCAAAAAGTATAGCTGCAGCCAGCTTTAGGCACAGATATATTCCTGAGACGACATGTACAAATCAAACTTTTGCAAATCAAACCGTATTTCACAGGCACTAAGGAAAAAATCACTTGAGATCACTTCAACAGAGAATGCTTTTGTAAACTGTCTTTATAAGTGAATACTTCTTCACGCCCATTAAGTAGGTTCACTTATAATTTTTATCTTAGTTTAGACTTTTATACGGAAGAGAACCCTTAATAATATTAAGTATCAGTATTGATCATTATAGCTATGATATTTATTTCCTCTAGTAAAGCAAACAAACTGAATAGAAATGATTCCTTTATAAACATTGTTAAAAACAAAGATCCCAAGAAATAAAATTATTAGAATTATGAAATTAGAAAGAAAATAAAAGCACTTTACATATATTTATTCAGCCCTTTGTGGGGATGTGTGCGTACATGTACTATGCACATGTAAAGTCCACACATAAAAAAAAGAAAGAAAATGAATCAGAATGCTCAAATCTGTATGGTAATTTAACAGGTGACTTTTACTGTTCCTATTATGCTTTTCTTTGTTTTCAAAATTGCTGCAGTGCACATGTATTACTGTTTAGGGTCGCAAAAAATAATCTTTTCAAAAAAAATGAATCAATGATTTCTGATAGTTTCAATTATACTAAAAAGTTGGATAAATCAACAGGCTTCACTCTCTGAAAGTTCTTTAACAGAAAATGTTTCTTGGTTCATTTGGAACTGATAGCTTGAAGAAAGCAATATTGATATTTCTGGCAATCACTTTAATGATTTCCAGTATTCTTGATGGTCAAGTCACATTCCTACCTCTCTGACTCTGCTGACAGTATAAAGGCATTGCTCCACTTCTTGTAAGTGCAAAAGGTAAACTCTGTTTCCTCAAGAGTAGTTATGCAATACTCTTAGACAGAATTCCATAAGTGTGTATCTCTTACAGGAAGACGCACACTTTTCTAGGCAAGAGTTGGCAACCTCAAAGAATTCCTCTTCACAATGGGAGTCTGTGCCTTTGGCTTCCACTGCAAAATACTTACTTTCAATTAGAGGCTTATCATACAGGTAAGAAATGGTTTGTGTTGCTTACTAACTGGAAAGCCTGACTTTCTAGTAAATACTCCACTCTGCAGGTTATGTATTAAGATCTAGCTTCTTCTCTCCTCTCCTTTGTCAGACTTTGTACTTTAAGCCACATTTTCAAGCATCTATAAAACAAAGGTTATTCTCCTTACTCCAAAAGACACAATGATATAGGAAAACAAACTATACTGTTTCTCCCAGAAATCATAAGAAAACACATGAAAAATTACTTTCTTAAATCCAACAATTGTACTGGGTATTGCCTACTATCTTTAAAGTTTTGAATCAAAACACTTCTGGACAGTGACTGTATTACAAAAGAAAATGTGACTCAGTATTTAACCCCTTCCATTTCAATGCTGTGCATCTGTTTTTTCAACTTTTGATAGAGTTTATTTGCAGCACTAACTCAAAACACTAATACCAGAGTCCATACATTCCAAAATATACATTTAGATACTCAGAGTTGTTTTGTTTCCAGATCAACATCATTAATCATTAGGGAAATGCAAATCAAAATCGGAATGAGATACCACTTCACACCCATTAAGATGGCTACTATAAAAAAAATAAATAACAAGTTTTGGTAAAGATGTAAAGATATTGAAATTTGTGCGTGGCTGATAGGAGTATAAAATGGTGCTGCTGCTGGGGAAGAAGTTTATTCATTCCTCAAAAAGTTAAACATGGAATTACCATGATATACCCAAAAGAACTAAAATGACCCAGATAATTTATACATCAATATTCACTGCAACATTATTCATAATAGCCAAAAAGTGAAAAAAAAAACCTGAAATGTCAATCAATGAATGAATTTGGATAAAGAAAATGTGGTAGCTCAACATTACCAATCATTAGAGAAATGCAACCAAAACCACAATGAGATACCATCACATGCCAGTCAGAATGATGATTATTAAAAAGTCAAGAAACAACATATGCTGGTAAGGCTGTGGAGAAATAAGAATGCTTTTACACTGTTCGTGAGAATGTAAATCAGTTCAACCATTGTGGAAGATGGTGTGGTGATTCCTCAAGGACCTAGAACCAGAAATACCATTTGTCCCAACAGTGCCATTACTGGATATATATCCAAAGGAATATAAATCATTCGACTGTAAAGATACATGCAATGTATATGTATTGCAGCACTATTTACAGTAGCAAACACATGGAACCAAACCAAATGCCCATTAATGATGGACTGGATAAAGAAAATGTGGTAAGTATATGTCATGGAATACTATGTAACCATAAAAAGGAATGAGATCATGTCCTTTGCAGGGACATGGTTGAGGCTGGAAGCCATCATCCTCAGCAAACTAATACAGGAACAGAAAATCAAACACCACATGTTCTCACTCATAAGTAGGAGTTGAACAATGAAAACACACAGACACAGGGAGGGGAACAACACACACTAGGGCCTGCTAGAGGTGGGAAGGGAGGGAGAACATCAGGACAAATAGCTAATGCATGCAGGACTTAAAACCTTGATGACAGGTTGGGCGCGATGTCTCACACCTGTAATCCCAAAACTCTGGGAGGCCAAGGCAGGCGGATCACAAGGTCAGGAGTTCGAGACCAGCCTGGCCAACATAGCGAAACCCCATCTCTACTAAACATACAAAAATTAGCTGGGCATGGTGGCATGGACCTGTAGTCTCAGCTACTCAGGAGGCTGAGGCAAGAGAATCACTTGAACCTGGGAGGCGGAGGTTGCAGTGAGCTGTGATCACATCACTGCACTCCAGCCTGGGTGACAGAGCAAGACTCTGTTTCAATTAAAAAAAAAAAAAAAAAAAACCTAGATGACAGGTTGATAGGTGCAGTAAACCACCATGGCATGCGTTTATCTATGTAACAAACCTGCACATTCTGCACATGTATTCCAGAACTTAAAGTAAAATAAAAATTAAAAAAAGAAAATGTAGGGTGTGTGTCTGTGTGAGTGTGGTGTGTGTGCGTGCATAGATAAAGCAATACACACATACAACCACAATATGAATGAACCTTTCATATACTACATAAAAGAAGCCAATAACAAAAGGACAAATACTGTACGATTCCATTTATATGAGGCACTAGACCAGGCAAATCCACAGAGACAGAAAGTAGAATAGAGGTTACTGGGGACGAGGGAGATGAGAGATGGGAATCAGTGTTTAATGAGTACACAGCCTCTGCTCGGGATGATGAAAATGTTCCAGAAATGCACAGCGCAGATAAACATCGTTGTGAATGCACATAATGCCACTACACTATGTATACTTAAAAATGGCTAAAGTGGTAAATTAAAAAGAAAGATAACTGGCTGTTTAAAGGAAAATAATAACAATGTAGTGTGGGTTTACAACACACATAAAAGTAAAATGTGTGACAATAACAGTACATAGAACGGGAGGAGAAAAACACAAGTGCACTATTATTAAGTTCTTATACTTTAAGTGACATGGTGTAATATCACTTGAGGGGAGACTGTGATAAGTTAAAGATGCCTACTGTAAACCCTAAAGCAATCACTAAAATAAGAAAACAAAGAATGATGGCTCATAAGCCAACAAATGAGTGAAAATGGAACCATGAAATATCAAGAATCAAAAATGTAGCTTGATCCAAAGATTTCTCCCTTACAGAAACTTCATGGTAAAGTGCAGGAAATATTTTTTATCATCCAGTGAAAGATTAGGTTACTAAAACCTACTCAGACACATAATTAAATCAATGAAAATAAATAACAACAGCACTTACTGCCCAGACCGGTGATGTAAAACCCAGAATTGCAGCCTTAGCTCCATGAGCTACATAAGGAATAATATTTTCTCCCAGGCGTGTATCTCTGAACAACGCTCTAAGGATATTTAAAGCATGAACCTAAAACAAGAAGTTCGAAATTAATTGTGGGTTGAAAACTGTGGCAAATCTAAATCTAAACATATCCAATAGCACAGCCTCAAAACAAAATATTTACAGCTAAGTGCAAAACAAACCCAAAAGCTGATTCTCTGAAACAGAAATAAAACTCTGACAAGACTAACCAAGAAGAGAGGAGAGAAAAGGCACAAATACATAATAATATGAATGCTAAAGCGGACAGGACTACAAATAAATCAAATAATACATTTAAAATAATATTAAAGCAAATAAAAAATAATAGATCATCCTAATCTTAAGCTGTGAAGAGAAGACTCTCAAATTTCTAAGTCTAGTATAGCCTATCAAAACAAGATGAGGGAAAATGACAGCATCCACTGAAGTTAACATATATATACACATTAACCGCTCCTAAGCATATACTAAATGGAAATATACATGTGTTCATCATTCAGTATGTACAAGAATGTTCTTAAAAATGCTATTTTTAATACCCCAAATTAAAAACTATCCAAATGTTCATAAACAGTGGAAACTAAGAATCAATAGATTACATACAACATGGATGAAGATCAGAAACATAATGTTGACCAAAAGAAAACATCATGTCAAAAGTATGGTTTATAATGTTTTTAAACCATTGTTTCACCAGTCTGGGCAACAAAGCAAGACCCCTATCTCTACAAAAAATAAAAATAAAAAGACTGGCTGGGCACAGTGGCACACACCTGTAGTCCCAATCACGCGGGAAGCTGAGGCAATACCATTACTTGCACCCAGGAGTTTGAAGCTACAGTGAGCCATGATTGCACTACTCCACTCCAGCCTGAGTGACAAAACAAGATCCTGTATCTAAAATAAATGTAATAATAATAATAATGTATGATCTCATTTAGGTAAAACTCAAAAAGCAGATAAAACTAAAACTAGAGTGTTGGAAGTTAGGCTAGTGGCTACTCTTGGAGAGAACAGTATGAACTGGAAGAGAATAAGAGGCGGCTTGCAGGTGCTACAAATGTTCTATTTCTTGATGGCTGCAAAAGTGTGTTCACTTTGTGAAACTGTACTGAGGTACACATGATTTGTACACTTGTCTGTATGTGTACTATAATTCCATCAAAAGATGCACATTTAAAAAAACAGGACAGGGACAGCATGAAAAAGAAAAACCTACAGATGGAAAAAATAATATTAAATTGAAATATCAATACAATTCATGACATTTGCAAATTCTAGAAGAAAAGATATTTATCCCAAAGGATGAAAAAATATTCAATAAAATTCAATTTCCTTAATAAGATAATGGGTAGATTAAAAATTGCAGCAAATATCAGAAACAACATAAGGATGCCTGCTATCTCTCTTTCTATACCAAACTGTACTATAGGTTCCAGGAGCAAAGTACAATAATAAAAGACTAAAAATTAGAAAGTTAAAACAAATTTAGCATTGTTTGTCAAAGATATGATTATCCCTAAAAAAAAATCCAAAAGAATTTATAGATAAGTCATTTGCTATATTACAGCAAAATTCTGGTAGGTTGCTGAATATAGGCACAATAATAACCCCAAAATTAACTGCATTCTTCTGCAACAGCAACAGATAACATAATTTTTTAAAAATACCATTCATAATTGCAAAACAATAAGATATTAGAAATAAATCTCAAAAATAGTCTATAAGACTTTTACGGGCAGAGCACGGTGGCTCACACCTGTAATCCCGGCACTTTGGGAATCTGAGGCAGGCAGATCACCTGAGGTCAGGAGTTCAAAACCAGCCTGGCCAACATGGTAAAACCCCATTTTTATTAAAAACAAAAACTTAGCCGGGTATGGTAGTGCATGCCTGTAATCTGAGCTACTCAGGGGGCTGAGGCAGAAGGACTGCTTGAACCCAGGAGGCAGAGGTTGCAGTGAGCCAAGATCATGCCATTGCACTCCAGCCTGGACAATGAGTGAAACTAGCTCAAAAAAAAAAAAAAAAAAATGACTGTGGGAATTATTTTAAAAAATAATAAATGACATTAAATGATCTGAATAAATGGCAAAATGAGCCATGCTCATTAAAGATTCAATATTTAAAAAGATACTTTTTCCCAAATAAATCAATACATTTAAATTCCAAACAAAAATCCAAAGGGTTTTTATTGAGTTTAACAAACTAATTCTAATCTTTTTATGGAAGAGCAATGGGACAAACACAGCCAAGGTCATTCTGAAGGGAAATCAAAAAAAGAGATTCACCTTGCCATATATTATAACTTTTTATAAAGACACAATAATTAAAATAGTGATTTTAGGCCAGGTGTGGTGGCTCACACCTGTAATCCCAGCACTTTGGGAGGCTGAGGCAGACAGATCACTTGAGGTCAGGAGTTCAAGACCAGTCTGGCCAACATGTTGAAACCCAGCCTCTACTAAAAATACTAAAATTAGCCAGATATAGTGGCACATGCCTGTAATCCCTGCTACTCTGGAGAATGAAGTGGGAGAATAGCTTGAACCCAGGAGGTGGAGGTTGCAGTGAACCGAGATCATGCCACTGCACTCCAGCCTGGGCAACAGAGCAAGGCTCCATCTCAAAAAAATAAAAACAAAAATAAAATAGTGGTTTTGCTCCAGGCACAGATTAATAGACCAATGGAAGACAGCACAGAAACAGAACCACCTATCTATGAAAATACACAATGCAGGCAGTATAAATCAAGAAGAAAAGGATGTACTATATCAGAAATGTTTCTGTATTCATTATCCAAATGGCAAACATTAAATTATTTTATTTTATACATAAACAAAGACAAATTACAGGTAATATAAAGACTTGTATACACTCCAGCCTGGGTAACAGAGCAAGATCCAGCTGTAAAAAGAAAAACAATAATAAAAATAATATGGTTTCATTTACATAAAATTAGACAAAAAACACTTTAAAACTTTTAAAAGAAAATATAAAATATCTTTCTTGGTTGAGCACAGACGCTCACGCCTGTAATCCCAGCACTTTGGGAGGTCGAGGCCAGTGGATCACCTGAGGTCAGGAGTTTGAGACTAGCCTGGCAAACATGGTGAAACCCAATCTCTACTAAAAACACAAAAATTAGCAAGTATGATGATGGAAGTCTGTAATCCCAGCTACTCAGGAGGCTGAGGCAGGAGAATCGCTTGAACCTGAAAGGCAGAGGTGCTGCGAGCTGAGATCATGCCATTGCACTCCTGCCTAGGAGACAGAGTGAGACTCTGTCTCAAAAAAAAAAAAGAAAAAATTATAAAATATCTTTCTGATCTTGGGGTTTAATTTCTGAAATAAGATCTAAATGTACAACCCATAGAGGGGAAAGCTGACATATTCTATTTTATTAAAATTTAAAATTTCTACATACTAATAGAGACCACAAGCAAAGTAAAAAGAGAAACCATAAATTGGGAGAAGATACGCATAATTCAAATAATCAAAAAGAAATCAGTATCAAGAAAATATTTTTGAAACAACAACAAAAATCCAACTCCTACAAAGCAAAAATGAAGGGACAAATAACCAATATTAAAGTAAGCAAAGTCTTTCAACAGATAATTCTCAGAAGTAAACCAAAAGGCTAATAAATATATGAAAAGATGTTAAAGCTAACTAGTAATAAGAAAAATGCAAAATAAAACTAGAAAATACCATTTCACACTAAGTAGAAAGTCAAAAACTGATAATACAAAGGTGTTGGTAAGCAATGGAAATTATTATACTCTGCTGTTAGGAATATAAATTAGTTCAACCACTTTGGGGACAACACAACAGCATCGAATTTAATGTATGTACCTTAACCCTGCAATCCTACTGCTAGGTATATAACCTGGAGAAACATTCACATGTGTAAGGAGACACACAAGAATGTTTGTTTTAGCACTGTTTGTAATAGAAGAAAACCGGAAACAACCCAAATGTCCATTCAAAGAAGAAGGTATGAAATGAAACAGAGTAAGATCAAATACTGTTCAGAAATGAAAATGAACAGGAGGAGAACGGAGCTTTCTAATCTTAAAATATAACGTTGCTAGACAAAACCAAAGTATAAAAAGTGTGGATAACAACATTCATGTAAAAGGAGATAAAAGTAGGACAAAAATGCTTGGGAATGAGTATCACTAATTTGGGTTGTGATAACAGCTAAGGGGGAATAAAGGGGAATGAGAGGTGGAAGAATCCACAGCATAA